TTTTTTTTTTTTTGAATTTTTGGGAACCGTACAGTTGTGGCCTATAGATTTCCTATCAGAAATACGGCAGTTGGCTACTGTGTACTTTGTAAAAATTTTATAGCGGTTAATGAATTATATAACTATATACTTCTGTGTAATTAGTGTTTTATGTAAATCTTCCACTTTTACTTGGGTTAAAATGATGCAAGAAAAGCACTTTATGAAAGGATGATTGTTTGGTGTTCGTTCAATCCTGATATATGAAATGACCTTCCGGCTCACTTGTACGTCAGTGAGCAGACTTCTGCTAATAACCAATTTTACCTGTTGACCAGGCAGAACAGTAACAGAACACTGTTCACCAAAAGGCACTTCTACGAGGTTGCTTTACCGAAACGATGAGAAGGTAGAGGTATAGAGGGGCAGTAAATTGTCACTTGGCCTCGTTAGATTGTATCGTGCAATAATACTGCAGCTAATGTATAATTTTAAACCGATATATTCGTTTCTCCCCCCCTTCTTTTCTTCTTCTGTTCCCCGGGAAAACAACCGCCTGAAAACTTTTGCTAATAAACTATTTACACTCTATAGATGAACTGATGCCAAAACAGTTCTCGCTTATGCAGTAAAGCTGAACAGCTTTTTCCTTATAGATGGCATCGTTCAAATTTTTAGCAGTCGTGATTTAACAACGGCCGTCTGTGTATGTGGTGAAAAACAAAAAGTAAATAGTTTGAAGGTCGTAGAATTCAGTAAGTTGCTGTAGCAGATTCAGATGAACTTGGACAACGACATGGTTGCATAACACTGGCAGTGGCAATTTAAGATGAGCATAAAAACGATGTAACGAAAATGGTTTGTGCCTGTAATATTGTTTTGAACCGTACAGTTGCTGAACTGAACGTTTTCACTGTATGACTTTACAAGAACAGAAGAACCGAGTGTTAGCTGCAGAAAAAAACAAAAACGTGGATGGGTAAAAATATATCAGGAGGGAAAGAAGAAGAAGACGAAAAGGAAAAAAAGTGATACTGCTGAAGAGTAGAAAGCCTGAAATAATGCTGTTCACATTTTTGATGAACATTGTTGCTGGCTGTACATGCTGAAGAAGGTTCTCCTGTGTCTCTGCGCTCCACTGGCTTAAAACTTTGTACCCTGTAAATCTGTTAAGCTTAACTTCGCTTGGTTTCTATTGAAGTTGATGATCTTTTTCAGCCATTTGTCACCACATCACATGAGATTTTCGGCGGTGGCACCATCCTATTATTAGCTGGGCTTTTAAAGTAGCGAAGTTTATTGCCTTCCATGTTGTTTTGCGCTTTGTACTTTTTTTTATGGCTATAATCCGTTTTTTTTTTTTT